CCAACCCGCATAGCCGCCTAGTGCCCACCTAGGCCAATTTTTCAAACACTGCGATTGACTGAAAGTCTAAAACCCGAAATTGAAAAATAAAATACCGAAACATGTAAAAGCTGTCAAATTGTTGGAGTTCCACGACATCTAGGAAACCAACAATTCAATGACCAAAAAAAGATCATGGAGTTGTACATAAAATTCAAAGTTCCAAAATAAGCTGGATTAAATCACTACTAATATAATGTCCACTTTAATCTAACAGATGAGTGGAAGAAACAATTGAAATTGACATTGTCAAACTCAGAAAGTATAGAACGAACTTAGAGAAATCCTTGAACTGATGTGAAACCGAGACCTTCATTGCATCTCAAAGAACTTGAACATGACAACTCTCTAAACCAAATTCAAATATTGAAATTTCCCTGTATATCTCCTATTTCGGGGGGAAATGAGCGACAACACCAGCAACAGTCGTAGTACAAACAGTCATTTTATTCATAACCACAACAAATACTTAGTCGTATCCATCTCATCACATTTTCCTTGGAACCCTTTCATGGAATTTGAAGACAAACAAGTAGGCACAAACGCCGGTTGATGGAAATGGTTGTTTTCTGTGTTCAACATACGATCAAGGTCTAGGATAAGATATTCTAGATTAGGTGATTGGTTCAGATATTCTATGAGCAATTTCCAAAAATCGGAATGAATGAGTCCTAGCTCCAAATGTTTCAAATGTTTAAAGATAGCAGGCATAAATAAACCATCCAAACTAGAAGCTAGAAGAGAAAGATATGTTAAGACTGGAAATTCCTATAGTAAACGGAGGCACAAGGTAATCACAGGCTAGACTTTCACCTACTGGAAGCCTATAAGGACGAATTTTGGCTGCGGATTCTGGAAAACATAAGCTGGTATATGAGCCCAATTGACGACAACGACAATCAGGTTTTCAAGCTTAGAGGAATTGATGAAGAGTTGGAACGTATGATCATTTCTAGTATTTGTGATGCTTGTCTTCAATTCAGGAGCAGAGATTTTGAAATCAACTATAAAATTCCTGAGTATAGTCAAATCTTCAAGTACAGGGCATTTTGAAAAAAGTTTCTCCATTGAGGCACCATCTCCCCTATCAAATCTAACACAGAGGTACTTGAGACTCGGGGGATTATCCTACATGTAATGCCAGTGTACATTAGAATGGTTTCTTCCCCTATTCTTGTGTTAGGTATCCCTATGTGCCTTTTTGATGTATGATAGTATCTCTTCACAGATCGAAGACGACTTGAGAGACTTCTCGGATTGGAAGTGATGATGCCTTCACTACAAGATCCTGAGTGCTTCAGCTTCTGAGTAACTTTATATTTCTCTTTATTAAAATTAAGTATATTGTGGGCTGTGATTGCCGGTATTAATGTATGATTGGATGCATCTTGCTTCTTTATCAAACCAATGTCCTCCCGAAAGGTTGGATCTCCTACGCTTGCAAGATACAAGGAAGGTATTGCACTTTTCTCCCCTCTTCACATTGGGAATTTCAGGTGCACGTGGGTATGGTGTGGTGTTCAATTATGTGTGTTGAGTGTGGTGTTCATCGTGTGTTTTTGGACAATGTTACTCTAATGAGAACTTGTTATAAGTTCCTATCTTGATTTCATTATAAGATGTGTGCTTAGTTTCGAAAATGGCAATTCTAAATTCCTTGGCTACATTTTCTGTAATATCACATGTGCTCGCGATTGTTCTTCAGCCTTGCCTCTACCTCTATTTCTATCTTAACTTTCCTTTCCCACCAAAGGTTTTCCGAGCTAAATTTCTTGGTGAAAGAATGTTGGTTGCACTAGCTTAACAACAGGCACGACCAATAGACAAATGAAATAATATGTTATATTTAAGAATGATGAGATGCTACTTCTCATCTAACACATGATGTTTGAATTCTCATTTAGAATAGTTCATATATCAATGTTATATAGCCTCTAATACCTTCAATTAATTTCAAAATAGAGCTGCAAACTTCTCTTTGTTGTCTCGGCAAATTGTTTAATATCCAATTTTTCATCTACATAGAATATAGCGCGAACTAATATATCTCATAGCAAAAGAGCAAGGTTGTCAAGTCCAATGAGAGAAAATGTTGTAATTGGGTTTAGTTCATAATTACAACGGATACATTTTAGAAAGTAAATTGCTATACAAGCAATTTTATACTATGAAATTCAACATTCTTTGATCTACAAACTGTTGGCGGATACCTTCTTTTCTTTTTCTTTTTTTATTTTTTTTATTTTTTGTATTTAAGGGTTTAACCTGTATTATTTGTTAGAAATAAAATTCATTTTTTATTCTAGCCCAATGGGCTAATAGCTGGAAATCATTTAAATGAGAGTTATCAGAAAGAATTTAAATTTTCATTCCCCAATATCGCTTGTACAAATAAAATAATTAAAGAAATAACTCTAGCCCAATAGACTAAAGTGGTATTTTAGCCCCAAATCCTAAAATGATATGACAAAATTGTATATTTAAATAGTCGGGTGGCTATACTCGCCAAATATATTAGAATATTTTAAAGGTACAGCCGGTCGGCAATACTTTCTAAATACATTCAAATAGTTTAAAGGTATAGCCGTTCGGCTATACGCTTGAAATATTAATATATTCGAATATTTTAAATGTATAGCCGTGCGGCTATACTCTTTAAATATGTCAGACGACCGAGGTTGCAGTCGAAGTCACAACCATTTCTCTATCAACTCAAGCTTCTATTTGTTTTCTTCGATTTCGGCTGCTTCGTCCTTCGGTTTCAGCACCCAAAAAAGACCCAACCCGCCTAAGAGGCCAGCCCAGGCACCTAGCGCCTGCCTGGCCGCCTAGTGTCTGTCTTCAGTGGAAGGAAATGATGAAGCTATCCTATCATGGAGTTTCTATGGTCTTGCCAATAACAAGGTTCGGTTTTTAGGCCCCAATCTCAAATTCTGACTTTTTATTTCTGGTTTTTAAGGTTGAGGCAATGACCCTTCAATTTTGAAGGATACCAAAGATTATTCAGCAAACATCTCCAATTTTGAAGGATTCAAAAGGTGACAAATATTTTAATCTTATCTCTTAACAATTTGTGTCTAATAATGGCTAATATGCCATTAGAGAAACAGAGTGTTGGTTGTAACAGTTCGCTAATATGTACCTACAGGAACTATGAATATGTATGTTTTCTAACTGTCCAGCATTCAATCCCATATAGCATGGCTGGTCTAACAGATGTTCTATAAACTTAGATTTCAATTCTAGCAAAATATGATGATCACACTACATATATGCTTAACAAAACCCTTCATTAACCTATCGTGCTTTGATTCTATGAGCCGCATCATCTCCATTCTCCCTTTGTATATATGGATAATTGAGTACATGCTAGGTAGTGAAAGTTTTTTCTTTACGATATACTCTTAATGGTGCAATTGGATGCTCTTATGTCTTCGTCAGAACCAAAGGCTCCTCTTGGTTAGCAGAATTCAAAGGAATATGGTTCCAGTGACCATTTAGTAGATGCAACTTTGCTCGCTACTGAAGTCAAATCATCATAACTGAGTATAAGGAATGTTGCAAATAATCTTCACTATTATTATCAACAGTGTCTTCTGCATCACGATTCTCTTTCTTTGTTTTAATGAAAGTTTGTAACTTAAATTTGTGTTTCTTGAATATGTTACTTTATACAATAAGATAAACTGAATTTGGCCCAATTTGATTGAATTTTATGGTCATTGTCTTTGGGTAAATTGTGATGTGATTATCTAAGAAATATACCAATTGAGTGACAAACTTCAGGAGAAAGCTGGCAACGATGAAGCCTAAGAGTTGGGCAATCCAGTAGAATATGCCAGTGAGGATGGTGATGTTGCCTCTAATGGCCAATCCAAGTGTGACAGTTGGGTGTTAGATTTCCATATAATACATGTTCTAGATCTTTCACACAATCTGGAATACGTAAAGACATAAACACAAACATGGAGCCATCTTCCAAGAGTACACGACCACTGAACTCATCCAATCCATAGCAGCAGCAATCCTAGCAAGAACAAGAACGGCTCAAGACTTCTGCTCTATCTCAAAATTTGTTTCAACTCTCTCTTTATGATTAGAATAGGTTAAAGAACGTGTCAGATGAGAGCAGGGCCTTAAGCTTATATAGGGCTAGGTCAAGTCGTCTCTACTCATCATCGAGGGCCAACTTGACTAATCTTCCAATCCCACCAGATCGGTGCACGCATAATCAGGTATAAATAGGACCCCTTCTAATCGGGTACATATAGGACCCTTAAGGCCATCTCCAACCCAAAGACCTAAACCCAAAATATGGCCCCAAACCTCTCCCAACCCATGAAAATGAAAAGGCCAAAATTCGGGAAAACCCAAATTTGGACCCAAATACCAGACTATTTATTGCCCAGACCCAAATATTTTCGTGGAGCCCACTTTCATATCAGTAGCCCCCTCATGTGCAAAGATTCCTTCGTAGGCCCCACCTCATTTTTTTATGCTTCTTTTCTTCCAAAACGCCACTTGTCAATCACCTAGGAAGTTGCCATTGGAATCCAACGACAACATTTGAAATTTTGGAATCCAACGGCAACATTTGAAATTATTTGTTGTTTGTTTGTTTGTTTGTTTCTTTTTTCATGTAACTTAAATCAACTATGGGGATTAAATCTAAGCTATTTTAACGGTAAAAAAAAAAAAAGATCCAACAACTGAAATTTAAATCCAACGGTCAAAATAATATTTTAAATTAATCTAGATGAGATCCAACCCCAAAACTCACTCCAAACTCTATAAATACCCATCCATTTCTCAAATAATCTACCAAAAATATTTTATCTATTTCTCATTTTATTTTTCCTTCGTTAATCTCATCAATCTCCTTTCATTTGCATACTTTTGATATCATTTCAAGCACATCATCTCTTTCATTCTCATACTTTTCATACTATTTGAAGTTTTCAATGGATAACCGTGGCAAGGCTATCTTTTCCTTTATGTTTGATGATGATTCAGATGATGAAGAACATCATCAGAGAGTGATTGAAGCCATTGTCCACCATACTTCACAGGAGAATGAAGCCACCAAACATGGTGGGTCGGTAGTCGGTCGTGTGTACAAGAACCGTGAGAGGGAAGATCGTCATCGCAATCTCATGTCCGACTACTTCGTTGAAAGGCCACAACAATATGAGTTGGAGCCAAGCATTACATATGAGTACCACCAAGATAGGCAAACTCTCTCTGATTACATGATTCGTCATAATAGAGTTCGATCTCCACATGTGCATCAAGACGGGCTCGGCCGACAAGGGCTATCCCCTCAGCAAAAGTTAACCGTTGTCTTTCGTATGCTCGCATGGGGATGCTCAGCTGACGCGACCGACGAGTACTGTAGATTGGGTGAAAGCACAGCTCTTGAGTCACTCCGAAAGTTTTGTTGCGCTGTTGAAGCCGTGTATGGCCAGTGGTACCTCAAGACTCCAAATCCAGCTGACCTTTACAAGCTATTGCATAAGGCAAGTAGTCGAGGCTTCCCAGGCATGTTAGGAAGTCTTGACTGTATGCACTGGGAATAGAAGAATTGCCCATCTTCTTGGGCAGGCCAGTTTACCAGTCACCAAAAAAAAAAAAAAAAAAAAAAAAAAAAAAAAAAAAACCCACTATTGTGCTAGAGGTTGTGGCCTCGTACGACACATGGTTATGGCATGCCTTTTTTGGAGCCGCAGGATCCAACAATGATATCAATATTTTAGCTCATTCTCCATTGTTCAATGATGTGGTGGTACATGGAGTGGCTCCTCATGTTGAATATATTGTCAATGAAAATCAATACCATTTGGGCTACTATTTGGCAGATGGGATCTACCCTCGTTGGGCTACTTTGGTGAAGACCATATCTTCTCCTCAAAGAAGAGGTTTTTTTGCACAAATGCAAGAAGCGTACATGAAGGATGTTGAAAGAGCATTTGGAATACTACAGGCTCGATGGGCTATTGTTCGGGGCCCTGCACGTATGTGGTGCAAGGATAACCTCCACTCAATCATGATGACGTGTATAATTTTGCACAACATGATTGTGGAGGATGATTACGAATATGTTGAAGAGGAATATGATGATGAGGATATGTGTCCACAACGATCCAGGAGGGCTAGAGCAAAACAATATGAGTTGGAGCCAAGCATTACATATGAGTACCACCAAGATAGGCAGACTCTCTCTGATTACATGATTCGTCATAATAGAGTTCGATCTCCACATGTGCATCAGAGTCTCCGAAATGATTTGATCAATCACCTTTGGAGAAGCTTTGGAGATGGTGAATGAGGTCGACAATTGTTTCAATCCTCATTTTGTTTTTCAATTATGTTGTGTGTTTTTTTTTATGTTGTGTGTTTTTTTTATGTTGTGTGTTTACTTTTGGAAAAAAATTAAATTTATGGAATTTCAATTTTTTTTAGGTCAAATTGTTCAAAAAATTAAATTATGATGTTATTTAAAAAGATTAAATGAAGAAAAGTTATCCATTAAAAAAAAAAGAATTAAACCATTCTTAAACAATTTAATAAAGTTGCGGACCTAAAATTTGAATCCGTAGGGTTGGGAGAAAAAACAATTTGAGTCTGGGCAAAACCCAAATAGTCACTCTTTGGAGGGGGAAAATTTGGGTCTAGCCCCTCACGGGTTGGAGAAGGCCTAAGAAGGGGTCCTATTTATACCCGTTCATGCGTGCACCGATCTAAATAGGAAAACATAACACTGGGTTCAAATGGCCACCTGAGATGTTTGCAGCAATAGAGACCCCCACAAACAGTGCAAACCCATGAGCTATGGACACCGATACCAGGCCCGCAGGGTCCAAGGTTGCTGATGTCAGCTTACCTGCATACAAATAGTCATTGAATTATTTGCATAAAAATTCCACCATTTTATGAAACAATTTTTTAATTAATTACACTATTAAGTAATAATCATATTAGTTTTAGCATATCCATAAGTCTATGCCATTTTATTCTTTGTGTGTGATTGTCATGATTCAGATTCGTAGTCTTGCAATATAAGCTTTTGCTTTGCAAGCTACTCTTTGTACATGTAACCTAGAGGTGTCAAACGGGCCATGCCGGGCCGGCCCGTCCCATTTAAACTCGTGCTTTTAACGTTTTCGTGCCGTACCAGGCCAGCCCATTTAATTTATCGGGTCGTGCCGTGCCGGCCCATTTAGTAAAATCATTGATCCCGGCCCGGCCCAAAGCCTATGTCCACATTGAAACGGACGGGGCCGTGCCCGTGCTCGTGCTCGTGCCATACTCGGGCCCAAGAACCAACCAATTTAATTTGAAGTTTTTTCACTTGATTTATTTTTTTTCACTTGATAATTCAAATTATAAACATTAAAAATATAATTAAAGGCAAGAAATGATGAATTATTTTGAAAATATTAATCAATCAAACATCCAAACAATATAAAAAGCAGAGGGCAACAAGTGTACAACTCCACAAAGCCATTTCAACTTTTCATCTTTAAACAACTTATTATTTTATATGTGAAGAAATGTCTTGCTTTGATTATAAGAGAAGCATATATGTCATATGTACTGATTAGATATCAAGTCCAATGTTGTTAAATTAATTTGTAGTTGATATGTTTAATTAATTAAGGATCCAAGAAATTTCCCTAAAATGAAAGACATCAAATATATGTTTATGATTATAAAAAAAACAAAAAAAAAAAACCATATAAACAATGATATTAGATGTCAAATTTTTGCATTTTGATATTTGAGAAAAAAAAAAAGAAAAAAGAAGTTAAATGGGCCGTGCTTAAAGCGGGCTTGGGCTCGTACCGTGCTTGAAACGGGCTCGGGCTATGCCCGGCCCATGTCGGGCAGTGGGCCGGCCCGGTCCATTGGACCTCATTTTTTATCCCGACCCGACCCAAGTTTTCATACCATGCCGAGCACGGCCCATTACTATTCGTGCTTGTGCCATGTCGTGCCTTATTTAAACGAGCTGGGCTCGTGCCGTGCTAGGTCAGCCCTTCCCGTTTGACACCTCTAAGCATTATGAGGATAAGACAACTAAATTAATGAACCGACATTAAGTATTATAACTCTTTTAAGGAGATAAGAATGTTAATTCCAATGGAACATTTGATTATCAGCCATGGGCACCAACCACTACATTACAATAGAAATTGATTTTATCGAGGTATGATGATCATGTCGTTTTCCTTCGATTGTAACATTTAAAATGTTGTAGGGATGTTGATATACAATACAAACATTAACATGAAGAAAAGTAAAAATGTTAACATGCTTTGTTTTCGCTTCGTGTTTATTTAAAGTAAGTCAAGTTTAACATTAATTCTCAAGCTAAAATTATGAGGTGACAACAAATTCATATAAGGATTCTCTTTCTTTCGAAGCAAATCCGTTACCATTCTCTCTTAATAATTATCAATCTTGATTACTAATGTTTTGTTCGGTTCATGAGAAACCCATGGTAATGCTAGGAAAGTAACTAGGAAATACTATTTTATGTCCTTTTTATTGCTTGGTTTGAGTATGAATATAAAATAAAGTTGGTTTAATTCCAATTATACCGATATGAAATAAATAAAAAGAATACATTTAATGCTATATTATAATTCTAAATTGTTAATGATGATAAAATAGTCATCCACCCCACATCCACCAAACCACCCTCTTACCACCTTAGCCACACACACCCACCGCACCCCACACCCAACAAACCCCACCAACAATCCCAGGCCTTATTCTCTCCTCCAACTTGTCCTAGCCCTCTTCCCTTCTCCAACATGTCTCATCCCAAATGCACACATCCTCGACGCGGTGGAGGCGCGGCCCCATTTTGATTCTCTATTACTACTGAAATCAATTCCAAGATTTATTGAAGGAATTTATTAGAAAATATTTTTACAATTGAAACTCAATTTTACTGTTCCAAATAATCTTTGGAATTTGGATGAAAAAATAGTCTTTTTGCCGCTCCACACTCACCCAGTAACAGTTGATTTACTTGGTGCAATTTGTTTTATGATATGAAATTTAGGATTTGGATTTGTTCTTTTCTTCATTATATGGCAGCCTTGGCCGCATGAGATGGGTGTCTCTTTTTTCTTTTTTTTTCTTTTTTTTCTACTCGTTTGTTACGCAAGACTGTCTTGGCTTGGTTTGACTTGGTCTAAGTTGGATATCACTTATCTGGCGTTTGGTGTATGCTTGGATTAAGACTAGATTTTTTTTTATTTTTTCAAAAATATCTATGTATATATGTATTTTATAATAATATATATAATATATGTATATATACATACAGGCACCCCGAGCCCCCCCCCCGATATTTCTCTCCAGCCGGTGGCTTCTCCAAGCCACCGCCGCCGCCTCCGGCCACTACAGGTCACGAGACCGGTCAAAAAATGTCCGGCCTAGCTCCGCCATCACGCCCAGGCCTTGTTCTGCCGTCAGGCGTGGCCAGCCCCCAGAGGAACCACGTTCGGAAAACCATGTTTTCCGACCGGTTTTGACAGAACTTTGGCTAGCGGTTTCTCCCTCCTCCGGCCACCAATCTGGTCGTGTGAGGTATAAATTTCTAGCTATTTTTCATGATCTAGCTGATGGTTGAGTAGGATTTGAGGAATTTCTAGCGTGAGATGGTTAATTTCGAACCTAGGGTTTGGCCCATTTTGAGATCACGGTTTCAGCCACTTCCGGCCACTTTTTGGGGTAGGTCCAAGAACAAAAGTGGTTCCAAATAGGGTGTTTTACCTAGGACAGGAGTCTTGAGCCGAGATGTTGAGTTTTTCCGACGAGGCGTTATCGCTTTAGGCACCACGCGCTGCCAGCGCGTGTGGCGGCGCGTGGGCAACAGTGTGGGGACCACAGTCAGTCCTATAATGATCTCCTAGTCCTCACGAGCGCGTAGGATTTCGCGGAACTTAATTCGGATATCGTTTGAACCCCGAACGGATCTCGCCTACTGTGCGATTTCCGGGTTCAATACGTTTGAACCGTTGGATCGTAGTTAATCCCAAGTATGTTAATGTAGACTTTCTCATGATTGTATAGTATTTGACGGATCGTAAAACGGAGTCCCGGATACTCCAGAAATGTCAGCCTTAGAGTAGGTTTTACGGATAAGTAAACCAGTTACAAAATAACGAACCAGTTGCAGGTTGTGGGGACCACAGTCAGTCCTATAATGATCTCCTAGTCCTCACGAGCGCGTAGGATTTCGCGGAACTTAATTCGGATATCGTTTGAACCCCGAACGGATCTCGCCTACTGTGCGATTTCCGGGTTTAATACGTTTGAACCGTTGGATCGTAGTTAATCCCAAGTATGTTAATGTAGACTTTCTCAGGATTGTATAGTATTTGACGTATCGTAAAACGGAGTCCCGGATACTCCAGAAATGTCAGCCTTAGAGTAGGTTTTACGGATAAGTAAACCAGTTACAAAATAACGAACCAGTTGCAGGTCAAGAACAGAGGAGAGAACTACGTGTGGCTTAATCCCTCAGTAAGGGTACGTAAGCAGCCTACAGTTACCAGGCGCAGCCACGAGTTAGGGCCCCAGAGTTTGTGTTAGCGTTTTCAGGTCATTTTGGTCATTTATGACCCACAGTCACCAGGTGTCAGTTTTAAACAGGTTTCGACCCGAATTGCACAGTGGAAATTGGATCATGTCATTTCAATTGGTATCAGAGCATTAGGTTAACTTCCTGTAGACACTGCATTACATATGCATCCGTATTTTCAGAATTGCTGGACAATTATTAGGTTGTTTTATTCCAATTGTTATTTTATTATGTCATTTTATTTTATTGCATTGGTGTGACTGGGAAAACAGATATCCAGAAGGATTTGAAAAATTTGTTGAGGTTTTCATATAAAAATCATGTTATACATGTTATTGTATATACACACATATGTCGAGAACTGAGGTTTAGCAAGATGAGTATTT